TTCCAAAGCATGTCTGTTCTTTTGGCATTCCATGGTATAGTCACTACTCTTCTCAACACTACAACTCAAAAGCATCAATGAACTGTTGTTGTTATTGTTATGTGTTGTCTAGTTACTTGTGACTCAAAGCAGCCCTGTGGTCAACAGCTCTGCACTCTGCTCTATCTTGAGCCAGTTTTATTGTGTTTGACACACCTACCCCCTTTACCCCAGTCACTGAGTCAATCTATCACATCCAGGTTATTCGTCTCTTAAGCTGTCCCTCCACCCTTCCAAGCTTGATGTCCTTCTCCAAGGATTGGTCCCTCCTGGCAACATGACCAAAGTATGTAAGATGAAGCTTCAAAATTCTTGTTTCCAAAGAGCAACCTGATTTCACCCTGGCATGACAGACCTGTTTGTCCTCTTAGGATAATTTTTCATAAGTGCCAACTTAACAATGCTTAGTCCAGTGGTGTATTATGTTACATGTCAGACTTCAAACTAGAAGGTCAGCAGTTCAAATCCAAGCGCCATTTCCTGGGTGAAAGAGGCATAGTCTCCTCATGTAACATTTACAACCTCAGACACCAATGGAGACTTGCTAGGAGTTGGAATTGACTTGACTGAGTAAATTAGTCTTTTGAATGCCATAATGAAATATACTTAGTAAGTATTATCATAAGATAATAATTGTGGAAGTATAGTTGATATTATTTGTTTGTTTTCTCTTTTTAAATGTTTTTATTATGATTAGGATGAAAGCTGATAGTTCAAATTTGCTTTCCATTAAACTATGTCTACACATCTTGTTTCATGACATCAGTTACAAACCCCTCCATACAACAGCATTCTTCCCACTTCTTCCCTGATTGAACCATTTCCATTTGTGCTTCTTTCCTGCCTTTTGAATTTTGGTTTGGGGCATAATGTTTCTTTCTTTTTTTTTTTTTTTTGTCTGTTATGGATGATTGTACTGAGAAGTGTATTTCTCCCAGGTGTGATTACTCACTTTATGACTGTTCATTATTTGACTGAAAGTTGATACCAAGGGTATGGCTTCAGGTCTAGATTTGAGGGATGTTTAGGAGCCATTGTTTTCGAGGTTCTACTGGTCTTTATCAGCACACTCTGGATGGTGTCTTCATGATTTTGAATTGTCTTTTATGCATATATTTTCCCTTTCATTCTGTCCAGAAATTTCCATGATGATCCTCATTAAAGTAGTCAGTAGAAGATACTAAAAATGGATCAGTTATTTCCTGGATTCGGATTTTCTTCAAGTTTTTTGTTGTTATGGGTATAGAAAGACCAGTAATAGTGCCTTAAATAGCTGCTTGCAATCGTTAAGACTCTAGTCACTGCAAACAAAGTAGGAAGTAGAGCATGATCTTTGTGAACTATGCTGTGTCAGTCGACTTAGATGTCCCCCAGGACTGTACTTCTTAAGTCCCCCAAGGTGTCACAACTAAGAAATTTCCAGAACTTTGTCCCCTGCATGCTATATTATATCCTTGTATATATTTGCAGCACATAGAAATATAAATGTAAAAATATCCTGTGCCAAATTAGTATGTGCTTGTGGTTTATACTTTCATTCACATTCTCACATCGATTCCACTTGCATGTATACCTATGTATGCACTTCTAGAAATTGTTTGCTATTACTGCTATTGAAGGATTGTGCATGTTACAGCATTTACCTTTGTAATCACTTACTGTAGTATCTTCTGTTGTCTTGGTAACATTGTGTTGTCCTCTTATATATTGCCTTTCCCTTCATCTAAATTAATATGTATCTGCTGTCTAGTTAGTAATTCCCTTCTCCTGTCCCTGTCCCCAGTCATCCATAATAATCATGAAACACTATTCCACTCTTTCTCCTTTTTTGTGATTAACTTATTTCAACCAGCATAGCGTCCTCCTGGAGTAGCATCCACTTCCTAAACCACATGCCTCTGGAAACTCTGTGAACTTTGATAAATGTCAATAGGTATAGAAAGGCTTCAGGACTTTTGTTCATGTCACTTTGAGTCGTGCTCAACTCAAAGGCAATCAACTACAACAATTTGTTATTCATTAGTGTAAAGTACTATTCCATATATGTATGTATAAGGATTGCTTATCCATTCATCCATTGAACTTAGGTTATTTCCATCTTTTTGCTATTGCTAGTTTAAGATTTTGAATTGTTATAAACAAAGGGAGTAGGAAGAGAAATGAATATACAGTTAGTGATAACTTCAATAAATTTACAATATCATCTATGCTTTATTTCTTTTTACTTTGTTTCATAATTATTATTTCCTATTTAACATAAATGTGTGCAGTAAATGTATGCTTAAATATAGCTTAAATTGCATTTCCTATTGTAACAATGACTAAGGATGACAGAAAAAGAATTGATGCCTTTGAGTTGTGTTGCTGAAGGAGAGTCCTGAATATGGACCAACCACCAGGAGAATAAATAGGTCTGTCTTAGGATTAAACCAAGTTTCTCCTTGGATGCAAGAATTTTGAAACTCCACCTTACATACTTTGGACACATGGCAAGGAAGGACCAGTATTTGAGAAAGAAATCATGCTTGGAAGGGTGGAGGGACAGTGCAGGAGAGGAAGCCCCCAGATGAGATGGATTGACACAATAACTGGGAAAATGGGATTAGATGTGTCAGAGTCGGTGAGACTGGCTCTGGATAGGGCGAAGTTCAGAGCTGTTGTACATAATAGGGTTGCTACGAGTCACAGGCAACTCAGTGGTACAGAAGAACAAAACAATGATTGTGAGATTATAAAGTATAATAGAAAGAATCAGGAACTGAGAGTTGGAAGGATTGATTCACCATGGCTTGAGGGTAATTCTCAAAAGATTCAATAGCATTACTGGATTGATCTTGGAGAAAAAAATCTGCATGTAGACTCAATATTGAATATGGTGTCGAATAATGGTTATACAGATGTTCTAGTAGCTTAAGAGCTGGGGTCTGCTATTACAAGAGACCAGTCTTTAAGTCTAACTCTTTTACTTATTAATTTTGAGAACTTGAGCAAATGGATTTCTTCCCAACTAAATTTCTTCACATAGATATTAGGAAAAATAGTAATCTCTATTCATAGAGATATAAGAACTGAACTAAGATAATGCATACATAGACCATAACATAATAATTATTCAAAAAATTAGTTGCTATTGGTTTTGCTATTGTTGTTGATACCCTCAAATGCCTATCACCTTTATAATCAATTAAGAATGACTGGAACATTTACGATGTTGTTATATGCCATTGAGTCACCTGCGACTCATAGCAACACTATGTACAATTGCCCTAAACCCTGTTCTATCCCTTGCCAATCTTATTGTCTCCAACAAGCCTATCCCCATTACCCCATTGATGGAATCAATCCATCTTAATCAAGAGTCTTCCTCTCCTGTGCTGTCCCTCCACCCTCCCAAGCATGATGACCTTCTCCAAGGACTGATCCTGCCTTGCAACATGTCCAAAGAATATCAGATGGAGTTTCAGAATCCTTGCTTCCAAGGAGCAGAGGCTGGCTTCACCGTCTCCAGGATAAACTAGTTTGTTTTCCTAATAGTCCGTAGTATATCCAATACTCTTTTCCACACTACATTTCAAAGGCATCAACTCTCCTTCTATCATCCCTCGTGATTATGTAGCTCTCTGATGCATAGCGAGTAAGGGCAAAGGCCATAGCCTGTATCAGGCACACCTTAGTCTCCAGACTGACATCGTTGCTCTTCAGCACTTTAGAAAGGTCTCTGACAGTAGACTTTCCAAATGCAATATGTCTTTTAATTTCTTAGCTGCTAGTACCAAGATTGTTGATTGTAGAGCCAAGCAACTGAAGCTGTCAACAATCTCAATCTCTTCATCATCTATGATTCTGCCAATTGGCCCAGTGGTGAGAACCTTTGCTTTCTTGATGTTGATCTTCAATCCATATTGAAGGCTGCAGTCCTTGACCTTCTGAAGCAAGCTCTTCAGGTGTACCTCAATTTCAGCAAGCAGTGTTGTGTCATCTGCATAATGCAGATTGTTGATTTGTCTTCCTCCAATCTTGATGCCACACTTCTCCTCATAGAGTCCAGCCTCCTGGATAATCTGTTCCACATACAGATTGAAAAGATATAGAGAAAGGACACATTCTTGATGCACAGTCTTCCAAATTTTGAATCATCAGCATTTTCTTGCTCCGTTCTGACAACTGCCTCCTGGTCCAAGTATAGGTTTTGCATAAGAATAATCAAGTGTTCTGGGATTCCCATTATTCTCATAGACTTGGATTATGGTTTTATCACTTCATATCTTATTTTTCTAACTAAAGATAAAAGGTGTTAGTATGCATTTCAGATGTATCCTCTTTTAAAAAAAACAACAACAAACTCTTACCACTGAAATTCATGTGAGTCACAGACTTGGTAAGGACAGAAGAGAATCTTTCCATAGGGTTTCTATGGCTGTAAATCCTGATGGAAGCTGACTGCCACATCTTTCTCTCATCAAGCTGTTGGTAGATTTGAACTGATGTCTTTTCCATAAGCAGACAAGAACTTTAATCACTGCATAACTGGGATGTTGTTGTTATGTGCTGCCAGTCATAAATGACTTGTAGGTGACCCTACAGCTGGCTTTCAAGGGTCATAAAGCACATGAGGGGAGATTGTCCATCATGCTACTGTAGATCAGTGGGTAGATTTGGACTGTAAAATTTTTGAGTTGGAAGTGAAACTAACTACCAGTACACTAGATAGCAAAAATATACAATATCTTACCTTATTAGTTTCTTGGAATAGATGTGAATGAGAGATGTGTATAGTTATAACCATTTCCCTTGATTTTGGGTTAAGCATTAGCAGTTGCTTTGATTGTAGATGCTTGTCTTGATTACATCCCAGTGGAAGGCAATGCTGATGACGTGTGGCCAAGTTGGAATAGATCAAGTTCTGTTGTACTCCAAGTACTGATCTTGTGATGTGGTGGTTTGTCTTCTTGTTTCTCCAGGGCATACATGAGTGTGAAGGAATTGAAGGAAGCCCTGCAGCTCAACGGCACTCGCTTCCTGAATGTCTACTTTGCCACCTCAGTCCGGGAGGATCTTGCAGGTGCAGCCACCTGGCCTTGGGACAAGGAAGCCACTAGTCACCTGGGTAAGTGAAGTGAAGACCAATATGCTAGAAAAAACAATGAAGGTTGAATGAGCTGTGAAGGTGAGCTTGAGGAGGGAAGAAGATGAGAATAAATGTAGTCCATGAATCATTGCCTTCTAATGGGGTGAGATGATATCTTCTTGTAGTTTTAATTTTCTTGTATCTAATAGTTAGGTTCCTGAGTGGCACAGTTTGTCTCCTAACCTGAGGTTAGTGGCCACACACACACACACACACACACACACACACACACACTTTTTATAGATCCTTATCAAGAATATCATTGTTGTTGTTGTTAAGTGCTGTCGAGTCGTAGGTGACTCATAGTGACCCTATGAAGGAAAGACCT